ACAGAATCGTGTGTGATTAGTTAGAATGCGCAATGCTGTAAAACGTGTAAAAAGAAATATGATGTAACCTGAGCAGGTCTAATTTAATACAGCAATTGTCACTTTTCATTTAATTTCCATTTTCACTCGTTTCATGCTTCAAGTAGGCTACTATAGTTTTATTGAAAAACAAGGAGACCCCCCCAGTTAATTTTTTGGGGCTTTATGGAGGGTCCCTTAATGCTTATGGGAGGTCTGGGACCCCCCCAGCCCCCCCTCGATTCGAACACTGCTTAAGGGAGGTTTGTTTCAGTGGCTGAGCTGCTAGAGGGGAGTTTTGATCATAACTGATTGTAATTCCAGCCTGTGTAGAGCTGGTTTGCTGTTAGACTGTGTTTGTCTGTATGTGTGCGCTGGTGCATATGTTCACAGCGATTAATCTTAAAGTGTCCCAAGATTAAATCTGTGAGGTCCCAGCATGTTTGTACTTTGAAGATGGGCTCAAGCAAATCCCCTTTGAAAAGCTACATAAAGCCTGGATCCTTTTTTGCTCACACACATATATGTTCTTGTTTGTCTTACTGTAACACCATGTAACATCAGTAATTACTACCATCACAGCAAGTGGTTGCGTTAAGGTGCATATAGGATGGCTATCTCATACCATGAGTTTACACTCAATGAAACAACTTGCCAACTATCACAAGACTTCTGCTGGGGTCTTTGATGGCCAACTGGATCGAGTCCTGTTCAATTATCCCTCAATAATCAGAGGAGTCTTGCTGCAGAGGACAAGCTTAGATCAATGCCCCAGTGAGTTATTGTCCTAGACATCTACCTTTTGCATGATCCCAATCCCTCATGTGTGGTGGCAGCGAGACAGGCTTGTCATCATCTACCAAGTTCATGTTTATCAATCGAGATGTCAGCTGTAGAGATTTCAACTCTTGCCAATTTAAATAAGACCACTGATCCTCACCTTCAGTCAACTGCCAGACAGATTTATCTAGACATAATAGTCTAAAAGTTTCCTTTATATTCTGGCTACATCCCCATCCATCATATGCATTGTGATGCTCATTATATTCAAGAAGTGAGCACATTTTATCCCACTCATAGTTGAGAGAAGGAAGGTCAAGGCTACTGTTGGTCACTGAATGACATAGTTTTTTCAAACTTAAACAATCCTGGTGATAAAGGTATAATTTTGACTCAGGTGTGCTCTGGAATGATTTATTGTCTTTTTTTTTGCTTTTGCATGTCCCTGGGATGATTCATTGTGCTTATTCTCAGACTGTTACCAAAGTTGTAGTTGAGGTTATAGGGTTGCAGGGTGACTTCAGTCTGCATTGTTCTTCACATTTGCTTATTGGGGCACCTTATGGCGCTTTTCCACTGCGTGGTACGACTCTGCTCGGTACGGCTCAGTACGGCACGGCATGGTTCGGCTCGGCACGGTTTGCATTTCCACTGCAGTTCAGTACCGCTTTAGAGTGGGCGGGATTATTCTACTACCACGACTCCTAAAAAAAAAACTTTTTCATTCCGCATCGCCCCATCAAGCTCTCGCTGAATCCGCTCCTCTGCTATCAACGAGAGGAACGTCTGTACTTCCGCAACAGACAACACAACTTTTTGGTTGTTAAAAAAAGGTGCGCTCGTTCAAAACAGTTGCGTTCGATCCTTCGCTGGCTGTGCTGATTTAAATCTAGCGGTTCTTTTGTGTTTGTGTCGCAAGTTCAGTGACGCAGGTAGTGACGATTCTCTCCAGCCAATCAGTGATCTGCAGAGTTTACACGTCACGTTTTGGTAACGGTACGGTTCAGTACTGTACCCAGTGGAAAACCCCCCAAAAGTGAACCGTACCCAGCCCTACCGTGCCGTACCATGCAGTGGAAAAGCGCCATTAATGTATCATGTAAAAACAACTGCATCACCACTTACGTCATATTCCATATACAAGCCCTAGTCAATTCCTGGCCCCATTCCTACCATTCCTGAAATCCTCTTAATGGCACCGAATTCAGATTAACACAAGTACATTGAATCTGTACCTTTCACTCATGTGGGATTTTGCTTTCCCAGATGTGAAAAGTTCCACATTGTTATAATTTCTCTCCAGTCGTGGCATTTGCTGGAAATTTCTGGGCCACAAAAGTTAATAGCTGTTCCCTAATTCCAACCTTTTTGTAGTGTGTACTGAATTGTATTACTTCTTGTCTGTAGTACTTTTACCTGTGACATCAACCCTGAGAACAACACAGAGTCTAAAGCAGCGGTAGCCAGCCTTGCTCCTGCAGGACTACCGCTCTCCAAACTTCAGTTCGAACCCTGCTCCAAGACAGCTGCCTGCTATTTTCAAGTAATCCTGAGTGCTTTGATTAGCTAGTTCAGGTGTGTTTGATTAGGGTTGGAGCTAAACTCTGCAGGATGGTAGACCTTCAGGAGCAGGGTTGGCTAGCCCTGGTAAAACGTTTAACCATGAGCAGCAACTTTCTTGGTAACTATAGCACTTACATTTATAGGCATTTATACACCAAGCCTACTTTAAAGAACTAGCAGCGACGAAAGCCAATGGTTGTTGGCACCTCGCGTTGGATGGCGTCAGGACCAAAAAGCTGCGCTTGAACACACCACTCCGACTACAGCCAACTGCAAACTAACACATGCATTCTGAGCCTATGTGAGAGGAATTAACTGTCTAAATCAGCTGCTGTCAACAGTATATATTCATCATTCAAAATGAGAAACTGAAACAAGGATATACGCAGATATATGAAACATAAACAAAGCAGCACTTGCATACCATTTTAAATATCAGTTTCAGTTATGATGACAACTTTCTTCATTTGAAGTGGCTCATGTTATGAAAATATTCGCTTATTGGAATGCTTGGGCAAGATCATGTAATATTAGAACAGTCTTCTGTCTGTGCCGCCTTCATTTACTTGCTCGTGTTCATCACTTTCACTTGAATTCTCTGGAACTGACTCGTTTGCTAAACTGAGCATCCAATCACAGTCCTCAGTTTCACCGACAGCCCCGACGCCGATTCAGCATGTGAATGGGGCAAACTGCTGTCGACGTGAGCCTGACGTGTGGAACAAAAAAAAAAAACTAGCCTGACAGATGCTCACCAATGGCCGACCGTTGGCTTGGAGTGTCCCAACCTTAACAAGCCACCCATGTCACAATTTTACACCATATTATTTTATATGACTCCTCAACTCCTTTTGGCAGGGCAGGGGAGTCTAATCTTGCTCCTGCTCTGGGAGGGTCAATGTCATGCAGAGTTTAGCTCCAACCTACTCCAATCTCACACTTGCCTGGAAGTTTCCAGTAATCCTGAAGACCATAATTAGATGGATCTGGTGTGTTTGATTAGGATGTATTGTCCTTTAGTAAACCTGTGTCCCTTCAGTCAGTGCATGTGATGTTAAAATGTCTGTTTGTTGTCTTGCAGGAGTTTGCCGCCCTGACGAAAGAGTTGAACGCCTGCAGAGAACAGCTGCTGGAGAAGGAGGAGGAGATTTCAGAGCTGAAGGCCGAGAGGAACAACACCAGAGTGAGTTCACACACTATGTCTTCCAAGCACTTCAAAGAACAGATTGTGCTCCTCAACTATCAGCCATCTTGGAAAGTTGTACTTGCTTACAAAAAAGCCAATAATTGAACACATGCCCACTTAGCGACTCGTGCATCTAATTCATGATGTTTTGTTGGAGTAAGGATGGTTTTGCTTGCTCCAAACTGCTTTCAATGAACTGAAACCAGATTCTGTAGAGTCTGTTGAGATGCTTACTTTAGAGTCACAACATTCTTACTTCGATATGCCCTGCACCACCTTTTATGGGGACTTTATTGTGATGAGAAGACAGTTGAGTGATAACTTTATCCTTGTAGCGGTGAGATCATAATTCCTTGTAAGTCAAGATATCAGGTTGGCGTTTTTAAATAAAATTGTCACCAAGCATTTGCATTGAAAGCAGAGAAGCTGCCAAACCGTCTGACAAGACACAGCACTTTGGATATCACTTCCATTTCACAAGAAAGCAGTCATTCTCGTTTCTTCTGCTTCATTTTCACCTCGATTCTTTTCCTGCACCCCTCAGAGCCTGCCTGAGTCACTGTGCTAATGCAGTCTGGCGTGCCAACCTCCACGCTGCAATTCAATTAATTACTTACGTTACTTAGCCGCAGCCTCACGTTTGAAGAGTCAATTATGGAATTGAGGATATTGGAGGGGATTAAAAACCAGAGGGAAGCATAGATCGAGGGGGATAAGGAGATGTAGTGGAATGGAAAAGACGAGAGTTCGGGTGAGATTAGCAACAGACTCTGGGAGCAGCATTTCAAGCAGAGTTTCTAATCTTACACAAGGAGCAGCTAATGTGACTGTGAGTGAAGTATTTAACCCGAAGCCGGTCTAGAGAGACTGTCGTCAACTCTGCAATGCATCAGTCATTATGGAAAAGGTCATATCTTAATCAATTTAGAGACTTTGTCCCAGTTTGTGTAGCAGCAACATTCCCTAAAAGTGAATTAGACCCTGATAATGTAGAAGGTACATACTTTTCAGTAAGACAGTGTGTGAGTAATAGGTGTTAATATAAATGAGACATAATAACAATGGGTTTAGGCGATATTCCCTTAAAAAGCTTGCACAGATGTACACTTAAAAAATCCACAAGATGTAGTATACCATACGAGCACTCTTTCCAGACTATTTATTTGGGACACACTAATTCTTGTTACATAATATTTACCATAAATGTTAGCTAATTGGGAAATTGGCCATTTACTATAGGCCTTGGGTTAATAAAGTACTAAAGAAGTAATTTTTGTTGCCAATGCCAGGGAATCAGTTTGTCTAATCTTCACTGTATACTCCCTATTATTTTGCAGCCAGTATAGCCTAGATCAACATTGTGAACATAGCAGAGACTTTTTAGCCATTGATTTTCATTTTAAGTGTCATTTGGACCACAATCTTACCCTGCAAATTGTTAAGATTGTTCAGATGTCTCTTATTAGTGATCATTTTCTATTTCAACATGGTGGCCACCTTGAGGAGTCAACTACACTTACGTAGAAAAAAACTTTTTAGGACACTTATGATTGGTGTCTGTCTCATGTGAGTGTACAACATTTTAAACATTTTTAAAAGTACTTTTCTTTTCTTTATTAGTAAAACTTTTGTGGGAAAAAAGGTAGTTGGTGCACTTATGGCCATACAGTATCAAAGGATATCAAAAAGTCAGAAACAAGTACAATCTAAGTCCATAGAAATAAAATAACACTTAAAGTAAGGTGAGGTCCATGAGGTCATGAAAACGCAGTATTAACAAAACATGAAGCATGTAGATGAAAATGTACAGGATGGACTTTTGCGCAGGATAGCCCTTCAAGTAAAATGCCTCTTATTGTTACTGTACTTATAATGATTTAAGATCAATTCTGAGATTCATGTATTAGCTAATGGCTGTGTCTACTGATGGCACCAGTGTGAATCTGATCCACCAAAACAAGCATACACAGAGGGAGAGAGAGTAATCTAACCTGCATTATCCGGCTATAGGGTTGTTTTAGTGCTGAGCTGGCGCTGGGAAAGACAGAGGCTGGCACAGACCGAGGGTTATGAATGAGAGAGCAAGGAACTGAGCAGAAATAGAAAGGTCAGCTTCTGCATAGGTCTCTAGAGCAGCACTGCAACAGCACTGCATGTGCAGCCCTCAGGCAGGTACTGTACATGTGCTGCTGCAGCCCTAATGCTGCCTTACATTCAACTAGAGAAGTCTGAATTTCCAACTACATTCTTGGCGACTCCACTTGAAGTTGAACTCCCTACTTAGAAAATCAGAAATAAACTACAATTTCACTAGCATGCTAAGAATTAGACTAAACATAGCCTAACATTCTTTTAGCTATCGTTTTTGTTCTGCATTTATTCTAGCTTTAGCTTTGAGATAGTTTTTAGATTAGTATCAGTATTAGCTTGTGCTTAAGGTTTAATTTGACATTTAGCTTTAGTTTTAGATGTAGCTTTAGTTGTACATATTTTAGTTGTATCATTATTTTTAAATTAAGCTTTTAGTTATAGCTTTTAACTTTAGTTTAAGCTATAGCTAGCTTTTTAGGTTATTAGCTTTAGAAATATTAGCTTAAGCATAAGCTTTAGTTTAAAGTTTATTAGGGTTTAGTATTAGTTATTTTTATTTATAAGTTTTATGTATAATTGTAGTTTTTGATTGAGTATTTTTATTTTATTTAGATTGTTTTAACATTATCTTATAAGATGTTCTTTAGATTTAGCTAGTTTTTACTTTTTATTTATTATTAGTTTTATATTTAGTCACATGATCTTGTACCATCCCTTTTAACCCCTTAACTGTTACTCACTCACATTTTTGAACATAGACATGAAAGTGCACGATCCAAACTTACATTTTTATAATTCATGAACGGAAACATTTTGTAACATGATATTGATGTACCATTTTCATGGTAATGCAATGTTTGATTTTAAAATGGGTTTCAAAGGATGAATTTTGAGATTTAAAGTTTTCAATTGATATATAATTTCTGATGATTTCTAAAGTGTCATAGAGAAAAAGGCAACAAAGAAGACTTTTTTTGACCAAGTTCAGAACTCCTGTCACGATGTAGATTATTGAGATGCACTCTTGTCATAAATTAATCTATTACTTTTCCTACATCATTTTTAACAAAAACATTGGTAAAATATCTTAGACCTTTCCAACGATATATAGTTTGCCATGATTAGATTAGGATTTAATTGTAATATAGTGAAGTAAACTTAGGCGTCCCACAGAGGGGACGGGTGACAGTTAAAGGGTTAAACAAATAAAATGCAACAATGAGTCAAAGTTCCTAATTATATGATAATGAAACTTGTTTAGAACAAATTTGTATTAATTCTCTCTTTATGTTAATCATACACTTGCAAAACAAATGCTAGCATTGAATAGCATTCTTTATGCCCACAATTAGGTTGCAGTATGCTAAGAGGCTTCTCAGTTGGCCATCGAACACCTGCAAAGTGAACAGTAGTGTTTCGTTTCTTTATACCTTGTTTACCTTGTTTAAACCTTCTCAGCATCAATCAGTGGAGCACCTTCATGGTTGGAAGTAGGAGATATTGAGTAGGAATATCCTGCATCCGGCTTTAGATGCAATTCAGCATCATTCTGAGCAGGTTTTCTGAACAAGTATTTCAAAACAACATAAACACTTTTTCTTTGGTCTCGCCATCCATAGTAATCTATGTCTACTCATCCAGCCAGACAGTTATCTCTCTCTCTCTCTCCACAGTGTCATTGGGACTTTGGGGCCGAATTGATTTTTTTATGCCATGTACCAGAGCAGAGAGTAACCACATTAACATGATCTCCTTTGTGCCAGGGTCCAGGGGGTTTCAATTTGTTGTGTCTGCATTATTGTTTTAGTAATGTAATGGGTTTTCTTGTGTGTAACGTTGTTATCCATCTGAAAGGGTTCCCTTGTAAAATGAGAAAAGACTAAATGGTGTGTTAAGAACATGCCATTCATTTTCATGTGAAGAATGTCCTTTAGGGTTTAGTGACATAACGAAAAAACTGACCTCGTGTTGCAGCATTAGACATTTGAGTTCAGTTTTAGATTAACTACTAAATTTAGATTTCATTTAAGTTTTAGTTTCAGCTTCTAATTGTAGTTTTGGAATTAGCATTAGATGTATATATAGCTGTAGTTTTTTGATTAGTAATAAATTAGTTTTAGATTAATTTGTGTTTTTTAACTGTCTTTAGATTTAGATTTTATGTAATTTAGTTTTAGTTTTTTTTATTACATTTTAGATTTAGTTTTTGATTTAGCTGTAGGTTTAGAATTGGTTTTAGATTTAGTTGTAATTTTGGCTTTAGATTTAGGTTCAGTATTAGATTAATTACTACATTTTGAATTTTGCATGAATTTATCTTTTAGATTTAAATTCAGTTTGAGCTTTAAATTTAGTTTTATATTTCAGCTTTAGTTTTAGAATTAGTATTTGTTTTATATTTAGTTGTAGATTTAGTGTTAGGTTATTTACTAACTTTGGGGTTTTTAGATTTAATTTCCATCTTCATTTGTTAATTTCAACTTTAAAATTAGTATTAATATTAGTTTTAGTTTGAGTTTTACATTTGGTTTAATGCTAATGTTTATAATAGTAATGGAGGATTGTGATGAAGAACATCATGAGATTAACTCCTTACATGTTCCACAGCTGCTGTTGGAGCATTTGGAGTGTTTGGTTTCGAGGCATGAACGTTCCCTACGCATGACAGTGGTAAAACGACAGGCCCAGTCTCCTTCTGGGGTCTCCAGTGAGGTGGAGGTCCTCAAAGCTCTTAAGTCCCTCTTTGAGCACCACAAAGCACTGGATGAGAAGGTAAACCCCGAGAGGTTCCTGTTGTTCCTTTGTTGAATTTACAGTGCATTGCAAAGATAGAAATCTGCTAGTATAAATTCAAATGTGACACACTAAATGTACCACACACCTGTTGATGTTTAACCCATATAATTTGTGGGCTGGCTGATCAATCTAAATAACCAAAATAACATTATGTAACAGTTTTCTCTCCTGGTTTTTGGGCTTTGAGGTGGAAGTACATTTATCAAACACTGCGACCCACTGTCCCTCCTCTCCTTTCTTTCATCCAGTGGCATTTTATTTATGGATTAAGCCCTTGTGTGGCACTTCATCCAGTTGTAATCCATTCTGCGGCCTTCTGCAGACAGTGTCATTTATAAGGCGTTAGGTAACAGACGGCAAGAAAATGTTCATGATTTATGGGATCACAGTTTTAGTGATGACTGAACGTTCAGTGATGAAGGACTGAACCCATTGAAATGATTCCAGTAATCAAACAGGTCACCAGAGAGGGCGATTAATATAATCAGTTGTAAGACAAAGAAAAAAAAATGCAAATTTGCCATACAGTACCACATTTTTTTTTAAATAACATTGTGAAAATAAAGATTTACATTTTTTTCCCCACTGTGGTCCTTGGAACTACATTTAATTTATTAAATATAAGACATTTTTATAAATCAAATACAAATTTTTAGTTAAGATTTCATTTATTGATCATATAATGTGTCTGTCAGACTTGTGTTCCCGTTTTGTTGTTTTCTTCCCCATGTGTTCCTTGTTTTCCCTCTTGTCTTTGCATGCCCTTATTTGGTTTTCCTGTTCCTGCTCCCTGATTGTTTCCAATTTGATTCCAGGTGTGTCTCGTCATCCCATCGTCATGTCATTTGTATATAAAGTGTTCCATGTGATCAGTTCAGCATCCGGTATTGTGAATGTCTGTTTATGTCTACCTCATCTGCTACGTGTGTTTTCCTGGTTCCATGGTTATAATTAAAATATCCTGTGTTGATGTACTCCTGGTCTTCTCGCGCCATGCTCCAACACAGTAGCACCGTGACAGTATCATATGTGACCCTGGACCACAAACCCAGTCTTAAGTCGCTGGGGTATATTTGTAGCAATAGCCAAAAATATATTGTATGGGCCAAAATTATAGATTTTTCTTTTATGCCAAAAATCATTAGGATATTAAGTAAAGATCATGTTCCATGAAGATATTTTGTAAATGTCCTGCTGTAAATATATTCAAACTTAATTTTTGATTAGTAATATGCATTGCTAAGAACTTCATTTGGACAAATTTAAAGGCGATTTTCTCAATATTTTGATTGTTTTGCACCCTCAGGTTCCAGATTTTCAAATAGTTGTATCTCAGCCAAACATTACCCTATCCTAACAAACCTTACATCAATGGAAAGCTTATTTATTCAGCTCTCATATGATGTATAAATCTCAATTTCGAAAAATGGACCCTTATGACTGGTTTTGTGGTCCAGGGTCACATATAATGTTTTAGCAAATACCACATTTGTTGTGTGTATGTTATCATATTTGTAGATCATTCATAATAAAAAATAAATATACTATTAAAACTACACTAGCCGTTTCTAAGGATGGTATTCCATTTTAATTCTACTTCCATAAATTCTGCATAATGTTTGTGACCATAATTTAAATGTAATTCTAAATCAGGAATTAAAAAACATTCTCCGATTAGTTCAGAGTAGAGCACAGCCTTGAAAAACAGTGAGTGATGGGATTTTGTGTTTCGTTCAGGTACGAGAGAGATTGCGGGTGTCACTAGAGAGGGTCTCTGCCTTGGAGGAGGAGTTGGCCGCAGCCAATCAGGAGGTGAGGTACACATGCTCTGATTTATGTAATTATTCAGCAATCTGCACCAAAAAGGGAGTTAAATGTACGCAATAAACATGCTATATATATATATATTTAATTTGTTGCTATGATGTGTTGTTTTTGCTTGATCTGATTAGTGTGAAATGCAACAGAGCAAATAGTACATTGTGTATTTTAGTGTTTTATTCTAGTACTGGCAGTCCAGAGGGTGCCGTTCTAGCTGAAAGAGCTTCACACTTTTTTTTTTCCTTTAAGAGATATTCAATGTTGAGATTGTGTGTACCAATTTTGACTGCACTGCGAGTTCTGCTATGTGTTATAATGTCTCTGTTTCTGAATTAACACTCATCTGATCTCTTCGGGTCATGAGAGAGGGCCGCCTCAGATCAAAGAGCCAGACAGACGGCGAGGGGAGAAGAGGTGAAAGCAGTTATTTAAAACAAGACAATGACTCAGTCCTAAGACAGATAAAGAGAGATAACAAATAAATCATACTGTATGTAAAATATCTAAAGACTCAACAAATCAAAACTAACAGCAAACATATTGATGAGAAAATTTTTACTTACATCTCGCCAACGTCAAGTGGGTGAGTGCGTGTCAACCAAGAGAAAGCTTTGCTCTGAATTCTGGGATCCGCGTTAGTCGACCTCAGAGGGTTAAAAAACATAAGGATTTCAATTGAGGCTGCTTTTAAATTTCATCCAGCCCTTTAAGCTGCCCAAGGTTACTTCTCTGAAAATGTTTATTTATTATTAGTAGTAGTCATTGAAAACCTCATGCTTTTGAATGACTGTTCATTGATGTTATAAAAGGACATTCACACATCCTAGCGAAATGGCAGAGACCGTAGAACGTTCAGAATACAGCCGTGGCTGGTGCCTTTCCAGACTGGAGAAGCACAGATGTCACACTGTACTTACTAAAGCTAAGCATGTGCTTAAGATTATTTAAGATCTGTTCTGTCTGTGTGAGCTATGGAAGCCCGTTTCCAGCACTGAATAAAAAATAAAAAAGGTTATTGCGACTTTTTATTGCGAAATATAAAGTCAAAATTGTGAGATATAAACTCGCAATTGCGAGTTATAAAGTCAGAATTGCGAGTTATGAAGTCAGAATTGCGAGATATAAAGTCAAAATTGTGAGATGTAAACTCGCAATTGCGAGTTATAAAGTCAGAATTGCGAGTTATAAAGTCAGAATTGCGAGTTATAAAGTCACAATTGCGAGTTATAAAGTCACAATTGCGAGTTATAAAGTCACAATTGCGAGTTATAAAGTCACAATTGCGAGTTATAAAGTCACAATTGCGAGTTATAAAGTCACAATTGCGAGTTATAAAGTCACAATTGCGAGTTATAAAGTCACAATTGCGAGTTATAAAGTCACAATTGCGAGTTATAAAGTCACAATTGCGAGTTATAAAGTCACAATTGCGAGTTATAAAGTCACAATTGCGAGTTATAAAGTCACAATTGCGAGTTATAAAGTCACAATTGCGAGTTATAAAGTCACAATTGCGAGTTATAAAGTCACAATTGCGAGTTATAAAGTCACAATTGCGAGTTATAAAGTCACAATTGCGAGTTATAAAGTCACAATTGCGAGTTATAAAGTCACAATTGCGAGTTATAAAGTCACAATTGCGAGTTATAAAGTCACAATTGCGAGTTATAAAGTCACAATTGCGAGTTATAAAGTCACAATTGCGAGTTATAAAGTCACAATTGCGAGTTATAAAGTCACAATTGCGAGTTATAAAGTCACAATTGCGAGTTATAAAGTCACAATTGCGAGTTATAAAGTCACAATTGCGAGTTATAAAGTCACAATTGCGAGTTATAAAGTCACAATTGCGAGTTATAAAGTCACAATTGCGAGTTATAAAGTCACAATTGCGAGTTATAAAGTCACAATTGCGAGTTATAAAGTCACAATTGCGAGTTATAAAGTCACAATTGCGAGTTATAAAGTCACAATTGCGAGTTATAAAGTCACAATTGCGAGTTATAAAGTCACAATTGCGAGTTATAAAGTCACAATTGCGAGTTATAAAGTCACAATTGCGAGTTATAAAGTCACAATTGCGAGTTATAAAGTCACAATTGCGAGTTATAAAGTCACAATTGCGAGTTATAAAGTCACAATTGCGAGTTATAAAGTCACAATTGCGAGTTATAAAGTCACAATTGCGAGTTATAAAGTCACAATTGCGAGTTATAAAGTCACAATTGCGAGTTATAAAGTCACAATTGCGAGTTATAAAGTCACAATTGCGAGTTATAAAGTCACAATTGCGAGTTATAAAGTCACAATTGCGAGTTATAAAGTCACAATTGCGAGTTATAAAGTCACAATTGCGAGTTATAAAGTCACAATTGCGAGTTATAAAGTCACAATTGCGAGTTATAAAGTCACAATTGCGAGTTATAAAGTCACAATTGCGAGTTATAAAGTCACAATTGCGAGTTATAAAGTCACAATTGCGAGTTATAAAGTCACAATTGCGAGTTATAAAGTCACAATTGCGAGTTATAAAGTCACAATTGCGAGTTATAAAGTCACAATTGCGAGTTATAAAGTCACAATTGCGAGTTATAAAGTCACAATTGCGAGTTATAAAGTCACAATTGCGAGTTATAAAGTCACAATTGCGAGTTATAAAGTCACAATTGCGAGTTATAAAGTCACAATTGCGAGTTATAAAGTCACAATTGCGAGTTATAAAGTCACAATTGCGAGTTATAAAGTCACAATTGCGAGTTATAAAGTCACAATTGCGAGTTATAAAGTCACAATTGCGAGTTATAAAGTCACAATTGCGAGTTATAAAGTCACAATTGCGAGTTATAAAGTCACAATTGCGAGTTATAAAGTCACAATTGCGAGTTATAAAGTCACAATTGCGAGTTATAAAGTCACAATTGCGAGTTATAAAGTCACAATTGCGAGTTATAAAGTCACAATTGCGAGTTATAAAGTCACAATTGCGAGTTATAAAGTCACAATTGCGAGTTATAAAGTCACAATTGCGAGTTATAAAGTCACAATTGCGAGTTATAAAGTCACAATTGCGAGTTATAAAGTCACAATTGCGAGTTATAAAGTCACAATTGCGAGTTATAAAGTCACAATTGCGAGTTATAAAGTCACAATTGCGAGTTATAAAGTCACAATTGCGAGTTATAAAGTCACAATTGCGAGTTATAAAGTCACAATTGCGAGTTATAAAGTCACAATTGCGAGTTATAAAGTCACAATTGCGAGTTATAAAGTCACAATTGCGAGTTATAAAGTCACAATTGCGAGTTATAAAGTCACAATTGCGAGTTATAAAGTCACAATTGCGAGTTATAAAGTCACAATTGCGAGTTATAAAGTCACAATTGCGAGTTATAAAGTCACAATTGCGAGTTATAAAGTCACAATTGCGAGTTATAAAGTCACAATTGCGAGTTATAAAGTCACAATTGCGAGTTATAAAGTCACAATTGCGAGTTATAAAGTCACAATTGCGAGTTATAAAGTCACAATTGCGAGTTATAAAGTCACAATTGCGAGTTATAAAGTCAGAATTGCGAGATATAAACTCGCAATTGCGAGTTTATATCTCTCAATTATGACTTTAACTCGCAATTGTCGAGTTTATATCACACAATTCTGAGAAAAAAAGTCAGAATTGTGAGATAAAAAGTCGCAATTACCTTTTTTATTTTTTATTCAGTAGCAGAAACGGGCTTCCATAGTGAGCAGTGTCTGAAATACGGAAATTAAAGGCTGTTCTCCTCAAACTACGTCTAAACGGTGAAAAAAAAACTAACAGCAACTGGGAGAAACTGGAAACTGTTGATACATTAGAAAAAATGAACCATGAACAATGAAGAATCAAGATTGTTATCCTGTCTGTTCTTCAATGAATACAGTGTAATTCGTTCATGTGAAAAGTGTAACATACTACTATTTGAAACATTTATTATTGCATACTGCATATTGTTTCAAATACTAGTATGAAAAACAATATCCAGTATAGAATATATTCTAGGATGTAAACAGTTATCTGCATAATAGTATTCAGTTCCTAAGTTTTATATATTTCACTTATTTTAGCTCTCAGTGCGTTCTCAGAATTCATTTCTGCACGAGTATAACTGAACCATCTCTATTTCAAGTTCACGTTAATATCTCAGTGTTAGAGGGAGCAAAATGTTGTTCAGGTGAGTCACAAAGATGAATCGGGTTTCTGTGAAGTAGTTGTCTTCTGTTTGAAACAAACCAGTGTTTCAGGCACTGCTGGGCTCGTAGGTGCTCTGCTTTGATGAGACCAAATGAACGACATCAAAGCAGACATGCTTACTTTCATTGGGCCTCCACTTCTCATTTACCTTCATTTGCAAGTTGACTCAATATTCCGGCTCTTTGTGGAGTCACAAGGTGCGGGATTGTTTGATCTTCCGGCCTCGAAAACTGGCAGACAATTCCCTTTCTTAGCCTTCAAATGTGCGAAGCCCCCTTAATTGCAGCCTCATTAAAGGAATGCGTGGTGAGCGGCGATAATTCAAACAAAAGGAAATGGATGTCTTCTTTATATCCATCCATCTATCCTGCTTTCTCTGAAATCACAGTGCACAGACAGAGCATCTTGACATGGCTGTGGAATAATCTCCCAATGCGCTTTAGTCTGGAGAGAAAACAATGTGTGTGTTGGTGTGACAGTGCTCATCAGTCAGATAACCTGCTTTAGAGATGCTCCTAGAAGAATAATAGGTTATTTTATTAGGGAGCATATGCCAGCGGCCATGGTCAGCAACTTCTGCTGCTATATTTGAATGCGCTGCAGTTTTACATTTATTGGGCTGTGGAAGTTTTGTGCTGGTCTAGATATACAGCATTTCTTAACTTGCATATAGTGTATGACCTAGTGGCTGTCAGTGTAGTATAAAAGTATAAAAAGTTCCATGTTTTTATTTAAACCATTTGGTAATGATTTTAGTACTATGGTATATATAAACTACCATGGTATAACCATCAACATCAACAGTATATTGTACTTTTTTTGAAAGGGATATTATTATGCAACAGTAGGGTACCAATAGTAAAAGTATGTTTTTTTTAATTATTTATTATGTACAAACTTGGGTTGCCAATGTTAACCTGTCAAAATGTAAGGTTTTTTTAATGCTGTTTAGGGGAAATTTCACCCAAAAATGAAAAATTGCTCTTCATTTACTCCCTCAAGTCATCCCAGATGTGTACACTGAAATTTTCTTTGAAACAATTTTCATTCAGAAATTGCTAGTAATAGTAATTTAAATGGGAAATTTTGAAGTAGAAAGGCTGAGATAGTTTTTTTTTTTTTTTCTAAAACAAACTCCAAAATCTTTGGACACTTTTTTCACATGAACACAAATTTTTTTTTTTTTTAGAAAAATAGTCCATCCATGTGAGTCCATATAATGCGAGTGAGGGGGTGCCCAAAAGCTGATGCACCAAAAAGATGATGGTAATCCATATAGTACGACCCAACACACTCTCTTATGGCGATTCATAACTATTTTAATTGGTGGCCAAGTCATTTTGAGTTTGTACGATCTCATTCATACATTTTTGTACAATCTGTTTGTGGCCCACTGATGGTTAGGTTTAGTTGTGGGGTTAAGAATGGACTTTCATACTTGCTGTTCTAAAAATCGTATATTTCCGTATGAATTCCTACAAAATAGCAACCTCGTAAAATCGTTGTCTTCTGAAGTGAAACAAACAATAAGTGTGTGTGTAAGAAAAATATGTATATTTTAAACTTTTTTGCTTCTTGCCAACTCTCGTATACATGCTTAAGAGAGTGTCACATTTACACTTGATGTAATTGACACATTGTGAAGCTAAACATGACCCTCTCTTAAGCGTCGCTTCTCGTGTGATCTTCACAGTGCGATTAAGTTGTGCTTCACAAAATTTTAAGTGCATACATTTACCACAACTTGTCTATAACTGACATATAAAATCCTGTGAGATCACTTCAGAATGTTAACTTTGTCTCTCACATTTAATATTTCTAGTCTTGTGACAGCAGTTAGAAGTGTCATGTGAAATCCCTATAGAAACTTAGATGACATGCCCTTAAAGGGGTCATAATAAAATTACCACTTCGTCTAGTACAAAGACTTCCATTCCAACATAAGAAAACTGTTTTTGCAAATATGAAATCTGCATCTGAAGTGGCATTTAGATTCATTTACACAGACTGTTTATGCAGCTCAGAGGGGACATGGATGCATTTAACCTGCAGTTACAAATGCATAAATAATGCTTTGTTTTAAACGTAAAACGTTGAATATTATTATTTCAAAAGATTTAAAACATGAAAAGATACTTGAAATGTGAAAGTAAAGCTGCCAGTAGGTGGCAGCAAGTCACTGTTAATGAGCGAGTGAGTCATTGAGATTAAATCGATTCATTCAAAAGGTTGATTTATTCAGGAATTTTAATGAGTGAGTCACTGAATCATTCGTTCAAAATACTGATTCATTCAATAAGGAAACGCCGTCTGTCGCTCAACGGCGCAAAACAGTGCTGTTTGGAACTATTTTCATTGGCGAAATACGGCAAAAACAGGCATCTAAAATGTAAGTAACTCAATACCAACTTTATCAAACTTGTATAAAATCTAAGTATTATTACTTCGTAACATTACACCACTGCTTCTATTTAAAAATCCAGTTGGTCCTGGCAGCTGTAACAAATTGTTGGGGTTGGTTGTTAAACAGTCAGTTAGAGCCGCTCGTTTCCAACATTTCTACCACAATAATTCCTGTCAGGAGAGGTACAGTACTGTACATTTGCAATTAAAAACTGATGGAAAATTGACCGTGCTTGCTGTTGATGTGCTACATGTATGAAGTGAACACTTCTAAGCTGTCTACGTTTGATTTATTTGTTTTTCTGTATGCTTGCAGTTTTCATGTGAATGAACGTTATATATGAACATCATACAAAAATTACTCTGGAAGAACACACGCACGCGCGCACACACACACTCCATTAAAAATATGATTTGGTCTGGCCATTAAAACAGTATGAATATCCAATTTGAATATATATAAATAACACCTCAAATACAAATAAAAAAGTTTGGATGACAATGGAAATGTTTCTTGCTTCCATGTGATACAAATAAAGAGTAATACAGTCTCTCTTATTTATTTGCACAAGGCAATAAAGTAGTACTAGTAGGCTGATATTTGATGTTGTATATGCATATCACTTTTTTTTTAGGATTTATTGGTCCAGTGACGTTTATGATAGGATGATATGTTCCTATTATGTCTTTACTGTTTGGTATATTATCTGGCATAAAGTGTCCTACCAAACAGCACAGTACAGTGTGTTTTGATATAAATATTGCTGGTTAATATTTGTGATTAACTCTCTCTGAATTGTACTTTTGCAGATTGTGGCCTTAAGAGAGCAGAATGCCCATATTCAGAGGAAGGTGGCGTCAGGAGAAGGGGCCGAGGACTTGTTGGAGGGAACTGATGCCCAGAAAGTTCATGGCAAGGTGGGGGAGCAGGCTGTAAACTAAGTGGTTAATAGTCTCTCTACAGTCAGGCTGTGTTTTATGAATGCTAAAAGTACACTACCGTTCAAAAGTTTGGGTCGATAAGATTTTTGTTGTTGTTGTTTTTAAAAAAAAATCTCTTATGTTCACAAAGGCTACATTTATTTGATCATAAATACAGTAAAACAGTAATAATGTGAAATATGAATACAATTTAAAAAAGCTCCATTTTAATATATTTAAAAATGTAGTTTATTCCTGTGATGGCAAGGCTGAATTTACCGGCAATTTCGGTCAATTTAATGCTTGCTTGCGGAATAAAATCCAAACCCCAAACTTTTGAATGGCACTGTACATAATTGGTGACTGGACATGATTTATTTTGATGTACAGTCAGTTTTTAGTCTAATTGGATAAGAAAGAAACTACTGAAAATAGTTTTTGAACACAGATGTGTACAATAAAATCAATAAACCTTCCTCTGTACATTCAACACACACTCATCCTGTCACTGTATTTCTGGATCACATTTAATGAGCCGTTAAACCAGTCGTAGCAAAATATCATTCCTGCCTCACATTCCTGATGAAAAGATAACAAGAGAGTCATCCTCCTCTCACTGTCGCCGGTGGGCACTGTGCACGGCATTAGATTGTGTTAGCATGGTGACAGTGATGACAGGAATGTGTGACCTCGTAAAAGATAAAGGTTGGCACTTTCACAGTATATCTCAATTGGCCAAATTAATCTCCCATGATGCTCGATAGATTTAGTAGCAGTACTGACAATATCCAGGACCTCTGGCACTGATGCATGGGTCCAGGCGACCAACTAGAGGTCACTGGCTTTGCCTGTACGGTACAAACAAATCTGACCCTCCCAAATAGAAACAGACAAAAAAGACCATTGAGAGGGAGTGAAAAAGTGAGAGAGAGTCATTATCAGGCCCTACAGCAGATCCAGAATAAACCACGGCTATTCTTTGTCTTGTCATTCTCGTCTATTCACGATCACAGAACCCTCTTCTGGTGAAGTCGTGACGATCTCTCATGGCTTCACAGTTTTGACGGAGTAAATTCTGTGTGCTCTGCAAATGATTTCATCACCCTTCTGTCTTGGTGTCTGCACCATAAATTAAAAAGGAGATAAAGTCTAATTTTAGGGCAGCACAAGACGTGTCAAGTTTTAGTGTGAATATGTGACAGAAATGTGATTTTAGGCATGGCAAAGGAAAGAACTGCTGAGCCTCTGTTTCACACACTGAGAATGCAGGCACAAATTTACATGCTGGGAATTCAACAATCCAGATAAAGAGCCCTGTGCTAAATTACCGTTTCAGTGAATGAATGGATGAACTAGCTGAAACATTAAACCTTCAAACTAGTATAAAATAATATATTAATTATAGGTACATTTATAAATTCTCAGTGTGCTGTATTTACATTTGTTTAGTATAAATTAGTGTTCATTTAGTATTACAGTATCAATTTATGGTTTTACCATTTAATTGGTAATTAATTATATGATTATTGGACTTATTTTTATACTTATATATAGTTTTTATTAAGTTTGAGTTTTTTTTTTGTTATTTTAGTAATTGGTTTTAGTTTTATTTAACAATTATAACCCTTTTAATAATGTGCAGTTATACTGAATTAACAGATAGTTTAAACATCCTTATTTAATCTGTTGAATCAATCTCAGAACATTTTTTCACTCTAAAAGAAAGTGTATTATGTGTGTTTGGGCTGCAGCGGTTGTCTAACGGGTCGATGGAGTCGGGGGACGAGGCCAGTCAGGTGGTGGAGCTGCAGGAGCTGCTGGAGAAGCAGAACTACGAGCTGGCGCAGATGAAGGAGCGCATGTCCTCGCTGTCCTCCCGCGTGTCCGAGGTGGAGCAGGAGCTGGAGACAGCTCGCAAAGACCTCATCAAGAGCGAAGACATGAATAACAAGTACCAGAGAGATATTAAAGAGGTGCAGTATGGGTGTATGTCAAGCCTCTGTCTCAAATCAGACATAAATCTGAAATGCACTGCATTTCATTGGCACTGCACAATAAATTTGAATCTAACCTAATCTAAATTAAGCTGTGTCCGAAACCTCATCAGACAGTAGTAATCCAAATATGACATTTGAATGTGTGTAACATCCTTTGAACTCAAATGCAGTTTTCTTAAATGGTACCTTTATACAAAATTCAGTCTGTTATAGCACTGACTGACCAAATAGTGACGCAGCTGCCTTCGGTTTCGGACACAGCCTTGTCACATTGATAATTAGCGACAGCTGGACAGATTCTGGGAAATGTCTGTTGGATTGGCGATACAGCTATTGATGGAGAGGTTGTGGCAGCCTGGAGCAGTGTGTTTGCTTGTGTTCATATTTGTCCTCAAGCCTATGTGTATAGGGCAGGAGTTTTGATTGACAGTAGACTGTTACACCTGCGGGCTCCATCTTAGGTGTGTGTCTGAGAGCCACTAACCAACACTCAATATGTGTGTGTGTGTACAGGCTATGTGTCAGAAAGAAGACATGGAGGAACGGATCGTGACTCTTGAGAAGCGCTATCTCAGTGCCCAGAGAGAGTCCACGTCACTACATGACATCACAGACAAGCTGGAAAACGAACTGGCCAATAAGGAGGCTTTCCTCAGACAGGTCAGGTTCTGACCACTTGTATTCCAATTTCATTTTCTTTTTAGCATTATTTCAAATTGCTTTGGTATACGGAAATTACTTAACTGCGTAGCGCACAGATGTTTTGAACTTGGCAACTGACAGACAGTCATTCCATTCGTAATTGAACATTTTATTCTGCTGAGATCATGGTCAGCATGACACCATTTCATATCTTGCCAAATGATTTACCAGGATTTCTGAGAAAGTGCTGAAAAAACATGTTCACAGTTTTCACCAGAGATTTGGAGCCAAATTACGGGGGGGGGGGGGGGGGCCTGGGCTGCGGAGCCCCGCTTTGGGGGGTGGGGGTTGCTGCCATCTTCAGAAAGATGGCAGCAACATTGTTTTATTTTTAGACAGAGATTAGTAAGTCTTTAAGTAAAATATGTTGATTTTTTAAGTGATGTTTGCTGCATTATATCCCAAAAATGGGACAAATTAATTTACATTTACATTCATTCATTTAGCAAACCCTTTTATCCAAAGCGACATATTATATTTTATAAAATTATCATTCCATGTTAACTCATCATTTTAGTTAGAAGTTAGTAATTTTAAATTATTTTTATTTCAGTTTTAGATATTTTTGTACTTTAGTAACTATTTAAGTTAGTCACCATGGCAACATTTATTTATTTATTTTTTAAGGTGAAGTTTTTCATGTAATATGTACATTTTATTTTATTTCAGTTAAAGAAACCTATTTTTAATTTTTGGATTTAACAAAATTTTTCCATACAAGGTAAGTGAATTTAAAAGAGGTGCTGCCAAGCGTCAGTATGCATTTATCACCCTCTAATAACTAATAACAGTTTAATTGTTCCAAGAACAGGCAAAAAAAGGCAGTTATGTAATTTTGTTTGTTTGGGCACACTGAAAACGGCCACGATGGTCCAATTGTTGCTGTGGAAGCTGGACTGTCCTATGATGTCTGCAATATGAGGATAAACTCTCACTGATCAGTCTGTGTGTGTGTGTGTGTGTGTGTGTGTGTGTGTGTGTGTGTGTTTCTTCCCACAGATGGAGGAGAAGAACAGGCAGTTACAGGAGCGGCTGGAGTTGGCGGAACAGAAGCTACAGCAGACCATGAGGAAAGCTGAGACTCTGCCTGAAGTCGAGGCTGAGCTAGCACAGAGGATAGCAGCTCTCACCAAGGTACTGTACTGGATACCACACACACACACACACACACACTCACACACACACACACACTAGCTCTGCATTTAGTGGGGAAGTCGTGGCCTAATGGTTAGAGAGTCGGACTCGTAACCCAAAGGTTGCGGGTTCGAGTCTTGTACCGGCAGGGATTGTAGGTGGGGGGGGGGAATGTACAGCGCTCTCTCCCACCTTCAATACCACGACTGAGGTGCCCTTGAGCAAGGCACCGAACCCCCAACTGCTCCCCGGGCGCTGCAGCATAAATGGCTGCCCACTGCTCCGGGTGTGTGTTCACTGCTGTGTGTGTGCACTAAGGATAGGTTAAATGCAGAGCACTAATTCCTAGTATGGGTCACCATACTTGGCCACATGTCACGTCACTTTAATGCAAACCAGTGTTGTGGAAGTCTTTAACTAAATTATAATTTGCTTTGATATTAACTAGAAGTAAAGTGAAGTGGATTACCATCAGAACAACCATCAGAACAAACTATTCACTGAAACGAATCAGACAAACAGTTATACTTGATAGAGAAAGACATCAAACTGCAATTCATGTTGGGTTCAACTATTCAGGCTAGGGGTCAAGGGCCATTTTTGAGGTGGTTTCTCCTATTGACCACTGCACATTAAGGTGCTCTAAACATTCTTGGTTTGGTTGGTGGAAAGCATTACATTGCACTTAGTGTACATTTATTATGTGAATTGATCAGCATAAAAACTTCAAAATCTTCAGGAGCAGTAGAATGAAATCTCTTTCAAACTTGTGTAGTGTACTGATAAGAACGATTTGAAAGGCCAATGTATTTGAATAGTCAAATCTTTCAGTATATTTTTTGTCTGGTATGTGTTAACAAATTGTACATGACTAATTTTCACCAAGCACAGAATAATTACCTCATTTTGTGTATTTATTGCTTACTGTACATAAACATAACTTGGATATATAAAAAAAAACATTCTTTATAAAAACGTTGTATTAGTAATATAATTAACTTCAGAAGAATTTTTTAAATGATGTTGGTTATATTTAACGTTATAAAAATATATAGCATTGTTATTTTTTAATTCTTTCTTTTAAAAAGTGTTATTTGTTATATAATTATATTGGTGAAATTTTTTGTTGTTGTTGTTGTTCTTTATATATAGTTACTTTGTTATAAAATAAAAATATAATAAACTTTATACAAATTTGCATCGTTTAGTCTTTATAAAATTGTTATTTGTTATATAATTCATATATTAAATATAATTTATATGATAATTCCTGTGTGCTACTTTTCCTCTTTCTTAAAAAAAGCACCTACAATTTTCATAAAATGGAACAATTCCTACCTAAACCCGAATGAGAGAATTTCTCAGTGACCACTGCCCCTGAAAGGGTTAAAGAAAAGTAAGCATGTACAGGTACAAGACAAAAATTAAACTCTTGTTCATTCTTTAACACTGTTAACAAACTCTACTGTGGAAACATGGAGAGATAGAAATGATTCATACTCTGTTCATTATTAACGTTGTGTGGTATTTCTCTGTATTGTGTGGTTTGGTAGTCTGATATGGAAGCTAAACTCCAGGATATTAACTGCAGTCTTAGGAAGGTGGGGCTGAAAGCTTCTCTCTCTCTCTCTCTCTCTCTCTCTCTCTCTCTCATTCACTTCACTCTGTCTGGCTGTGGGTCTCTTCACTGCTGGTGTATTTCAGTTGCATATGATGCTCAGCTGGGATTTCGCTTTAATGATTTGCTGACATACTTGGTTCTTTCTGTTCACCCAGGAGAGAACAGAAGCTTAAGGAAATACAAGCTATATCTCTTTACCTGCCTGCTCAACCATGTCTGTGGTGTTTGGTGTGACGGCACCTTATAAACCAAACTCACAATCTCATAAATCTAGATGAAGATTCCAGCCAACATCATAGTCATGGTTCAAGGGTCTATTCTCTGCTGGTTTGAGCTAATTTGTGGCTTTACATTTTCTTGTCTGATGAAATATAATGTGTGTGTTTGTTGTTCAGGCAGAGGAGAGACACGGAAGTATCGAGGAGCGAATGAGACATTTAGAGGGACAGCTGGAGGAGAAGAACCAGGAACTGCTCAGGGTCAACATCACTTTATATCACTAAATAATCTATACTTCCATACTATATACTGTTTTCACAGTATGCTTATTTTGTGCAGAATGTAAATTGTCAGATTGGGGAACATCCAAATTAGCAACTACATTTGCCAAACAATAAAACAGCACGCTGTGTGGAAAACTGTATCCCACAATGGAATGCATTCTAACTTGACCTTCCATTTCCAGTATGATGAATGAACTGAAAGCCAAGTCAACTATGATTATCATCTCCTCCTAACAGAATATTTTATTGGACTGTCAAAAACACAAAATATAAGTTTTTACTTCTGAGATGATAACTGGGGAACATTCGCAAATTTAAAACCCTCAGAGACCCAGCGTAGCAGAATTGCAAAGTTTGAATAAAGCATTGCTAATGCTAAACACAATTCAACAAATGTATCTATTTACAAAGCAAGTATTTGACATCTTATATTTATTTTATTATATTTTATTTTATTTCTATGCGTCTAATAATGGAAGAATGCTTACATGCTCTGACATTTTGAATGTACAAACATTTTTCTCCACATTTTTCTCACACAATATAGTCCGAGCCTATTCAATGACAAAGATTATATCACTATTGTCTCATTGATTTAGCTATATATACAAACATACACACGCACACACACTGATATTGCAGCATTAAATGTATATATGTGTGTGTATATATATATATATATATATATATATAAAGTGGTATTCAAAATGACTAAATTATATTTAAAATTTATATGAATATTTATTGCAGTATTTAAATGATCAAAAAGTTAAATTTCATGACTTTTCATGACTATATCCTTTCTGTATCAATAAATTCTGCTGAAATATTGCCCAAAATGCCCAGCGTTGCGATTTTGAATGTTTCTCCAGATTATATATATTAAAGCAAATATTACCTGTTTTTATATTTAAAGGCTTTCTAGAGACATGTTTAAGGGTGAAAAAATGTCATGAGTATCAATATTTGGGTCTCTGAGGGTTAAACATTCAGTTCAGTGAGGTCATATTTTTAGTATGCTAGTATTTTATAAAACATTTAATTTGAGTTAATATAATGTTTAAACATATTTGTTTTTAATTCATTTTGTGAAAAAATGTTGTTTCCTCAGGCTCGACAGAGAGAGAAGATGAACGAGGAACACAACAAGCGTTTGTCAGACACTGTGGACAGACTCTTGACAGAGTCGAATGAACGTTTACAGCTTCACCTGAAAGAAAGAATGTCTGCTCTTGAGGAGAAGGTGAGAGAAGATCCAACCGTCATGGCAGATGTCTTCCGATACTGTTGATCTCTCACACTGTTTCCATTGCTTCTCTTTCAGAATGTGTTAATACAAGACTCGGAGAACTACAGGAAGCAGTTAGAAGACTCAATTCAAGAAAAGGTCATTCGTTTTTCTTTTCTGAAAACTAGCTTGGCAAAAAAAAATTTGATGCAATGCTTTGCTATCCATTCTGAGTAAAATGAAACTTTGATGTGCTTTACGGTTATAGTCTAATTTCTCGGAGGAGATCGAGAAACTGAGATCTGAAATGGATCAGTACCGGTTGAGGGCCGGATCCCTTACAGAGCCCACGCTGTCACGGTGAGACAGAAAGCATGAAGAACTCCGAACTATCCTTTTACAATAAACAATAGCTCTGTTCCAAAACCCAGCAAGCTCAACAGAATTTTCAGGCATCATAGGCGTGCGTTCAACACAAAGGCTGTTCCAAATACAGTAGCTGGCAGCAACATTAGCAGCAGCATTGCATGTATCCATTCTGGAGGAGGCGATCCAATGATACATTCCTATGAGATCACTCTGACAATTGCATACATTTTCTCCGTAGGGGAATTTTTAACAATAATTTATCACCTTTTAAAAACAGATCTACTATGAGCTCTGAGGTTGTTAATTGGTGGTTTATGCTTTTGTTGAAGCCATCAGCTCACATTATTTAAACTTTTTAAATAATCATGTTTAACAGTGGAATTATAGGTGCAAAACTGTTACCCATTCTTAAACCAATCAAATGAGACGTTGCAATATATCTAACATTTTTGGCTCCTATACATATAATCAATATCTTTAAATCAGTAGTTTTATATTTCATCATTGTTTTATTTTAATTTAATTGTCATTGGCAATGCTTAATGGGATTGTTCCAGATCAGTCACTGATAAGGTTATTTCTTGTTAAAATGCCTTAAAAGACTGCGGCCTATGTAGACAGCAATGGTCTCAGCGGACCATTTTTTTGGGGGGTCCAGCTCAATTCTGTTTCAACACAGGCCCGTTTGGCTCCTGTTTAGATATCTGATATTAAAGCGTGTTTGGTTCGCTTCAAGCTAGGCCATCATGTTTCGGTGAGCACATGTCGCAGACTCCTGGGTCTCATGGCAGCGGCCTCTCCTATGCTGCCCTTGGGGCTGCTTCATATGAGGCCATTTCTGTGGTGGATGAAGTTCAAAGGAGTTCATCCCTTGTGACCAGCCCTCCACCTGCTAAGAGTGTTGCACAGTTGCTTTCGTGCCCTCTCAACATGGCAGGACCCTCTCCTTCTTCAGCAGGGGGTCAAGATGGCTGCTGTTTACCATCGCCAAACGATTACAACAGACTGGCTTGTGGTGTCTGGATGGGAGAGTTTCTCTCGTGGCACATAAACAGCCTAAAGCTGCGAGCCATCTTCCTGGCCCTGGTGCATGTACTCCCAATTCTGGCGGGTTGTCAAGGGATCATCAAAATGGAAAATATGGCAGTAGTGTCTCACATAAATCGTTAGGGAGGCTCAAGGTCTCACACCCTGGACAGGCATGCGCACCACCTGCTCCTTTGGGCTCAGGACAGGTTTCTTTCGCTGAGAGCGGTTCACATCCCAGGGGCTCTGAACTAGAGACCTGCGCGGGACGGATTTTTCCGCTCCCGCAGAAATATATCTTATCTGGTCCCGCTCCCGCCCGCGACATTCATGTTTTGTCCCGCTCCCGCCCGCAAAAGCCCGCATAAAAGTAATCTATATAGACTTTTTCAGTACATCGAAGAAATTTACATGAAATGGTTCTGTAACATCTCCTAAGCTCCACAACATCCCAGCATAAACACTCCCGATAAAATATTTGTTATTTAGGCTAAGCATCAACATTAACAAACCACTGTTATTTTTAACAGAAAAGCAAGCATGGGCTGCTGCGTGCATGGTTTGGCATCGTTCCCAATGCGTCATAGCTCCGCAGCGTTGAGTGAACATATGAAAGAGAATGTCTCGGGTTACTTGCGCAATAAATTGGCTTGATTCCATATGGGCTTCAGACAATCGGCACACCCAAGAGGTGTTCCCATTGCATCAGAGCTACGCAATGTCTAGTTCCCTATTCAGAGAACATGGGTTACACGAGCAATCCAAGCTTTTTATATTGTACTTTCAGTCCATTAAAAATGTAGTAGTGATGAGATTTGCAAGTGAAGTTTATAGTTTCTAAGTTTACTATGTAGTTCATAGTGAAACTAACCAGTTAGAATGTAAACAAAATTAGATTTTAGATTTAAAAAGTTTGTCACCATGTCTACATTCTAGATAACAGATTGTGGTCTTGATTCCAGGTCTCATCTGGATGCATCCGGAGATCTGCGTTTCTCTCTAGGTTCTCTTGCCGAGACGCAATCAGACCATTATCGCTCCACCAAGGTGATCTGCAGGCCCAGGAGAGGACGCATGGTGCTATGTAGGGATGAACAGAAGGTAGGATCTCATCACCCATTGTTTCTTGAGCTTTGTGCTAAACCTTACTCCTTCCTCTTTCTTTCTCATGTTCTTGCAGGCTAAGTCTCTGGGAGAGCATGAATGGCGCTCTCAGCAACTGGCCGTTCTCGGTGGCCACCCATTTGAGAGCGACACAGAGATGTCGGATATCGATGACGATGACAGAGAGACCCTTTTCAGTTCGATGGATCTACTGTCTCCAGGAGGACATTCAGATGCTCAGACTCTAGCAATGATGCTGCAAGAACAACTGGATGCCATCAATAAAGAAATCCGGTCAGTCCGTTCACTGTGACCACAGCACCTTTTTGTAGACTAGGCTTAAATCGTGTTTTCTTAATTGTCTACCCAGAGATGGAGAAGACGCATTACATTCAAATTGCTTTAATGTCTATAATGTAATCCATCTGTAAAGCAATGAAAGGACATTATATTTCTTAGAAATATCACCTCAAAGGTGATAATAAAACAGCAGGGGGATCGACCCTTGGTGCACACCTTCTTTAGCATTATTAGGTTTGACAGCTGTTCATTTACACCAACAAAGATAGGATCTAAACCAGGCTAGCACCTGTCCAAAAACAGCATAATTTTCAAGACTGTCCAAAAGAAAGTTAATGATATATCAAATGCAGGTCTAGCAGAGAAATACAACCTTAGTTGGATAACAAGTGTAAGATATTTTTGTCCATTTCATTGGCACTTACAGATAGTTTTTTCCCGTCTTGTCACACACACTCATTCTCCTGTAAATATCTACATCTGATCATTGCTAAGTGTTTATTTGCCATTTAGCAGATAATTTTTTATCTAAAGTTACTTGTAGTACACTGATTCCTGGGACAGGGACAAGTTCCTTGACTATTAGTAGCTTTTTCTAGAACATACAGTACAAGAAATTGAACTTGTTGCCTTTTTGTCTTAGAAGTTTAGATTTACCATTAGTTTCCCTCCATAACCTACATCTAACCTTCTACTCCCTAGCTAATCCCTTCACTCCTTTCTTGATGTTTTAAGTGTTACATTTATCAGAATTTCTACATCTCTACAGAGACTCAGAATCAGGATTCTGCCACACAAAAGTCCTAGAAGGAAGTAAAAACAATAAAAGGTGCTGCAGAAAGACGAGTTGTACCTTCAGGCAGTGTATATGCTGATTTAAATATCAGCCAGAGCTCAGGGTTTCTCCTGTAGGCTGTTCACACAGCGCATAAGGTGGAGGCTGATTTGACACTTTGTGAACATGAGGCATAAGTCCAGTAGTTATTGAACATGAGTGGTTGAGTGAAAGGTTTCCATGCCCACATGGCACTCCACGGCTTCCTGCTAGACATTTCTGCAGTTCCTGATTTCCATAATTTCTGGGATTAGAGTATATATGCAGTGTATCTCTTTCATATCACACCTCTATCACCTGTCTGACTAGCCCTTGCACCTACACCTAAGGCTGTCAAAAGCAAATGTATGACTTCAAATCAAGTACTAACAAATAAACCATCCCGGCCCGTTGGATTTTATTGAGATCTAATTTGACTTTTGTCTAATTCATTGGAAATGTGTGATTAATATTTGAAGAGGCCAGAACAGACTTTCTTCAGCCTTTTTTATGGAACTTTATTTGGATTTTAGTTGGAGTTGTTTCAAAGGTCATTTTAAATTCACGAAGAGCCACTCACTGCAGACAAGTTTGAATTTTTTAGATAGTTCTCATCCTCCTTTTGCTTCTGTTGAGGACGAGAGGCTTCACCTGCTCTGCCCTGTTCGAGCTTTGAAGCTCTATGTGGACCGCAATTCCTCACAATTTTTGGTGTGTTTTGGTGCTGGCCGCAGAAGGCTTGCCACAACAAAATGTAGGATTTCTCATTGGGTATCTCAGTTGTGTATGAGGTGTGAGGTCTTTCTTCACTGTTAGTAGTTCGAGCTCATTCTACCTGGAGTGTTGTTTCCTTTCAAGGTTTTTTCAGAGGAGTTCCCCTGGAGGATATCTGTGTGGCGGCACGATGGTCCTCCTTTCACACTCTTATCAGGTTTTATAGCTTGGATTTAGATGCGGATCCTGGTTCCCAGATTATTTCTGCTTGAACCAGCCATTTGAGGTTAGCCTGGTCTATTTTGATATATTGTTCCCAATGCGTCATAGCTCCGCAGCGTTGAGTGAACATATGAAAGAGAATGTCTCGGGTTACTCGCGCAATAAATTGGCTTGATTCCATATGGGCTTCAGACAATCGGCACACCCAAGAGGCGTTCCCATTGCATCAGAGCTACGCAATGTCTAGTTCCCTATTCAGAGAACATGGGTTACACGAGCAATCCAAGCTTTTTATATTGTACTTTCAGTTCATTAAAAATGTAGTAGTGATGAGATTTGCAAGTGAAGTTTATAGTTTCTAAGTTTACTATGTAGTTCATAGTAAGCTCCCTTTATGTAAGTTTCATCAAGATACAAAAAAGTGGTTTATAAAAATGTGCAACCTCACCTATAACGTACAGTATGTGTGTTTAACTTGATTTGATTGCCTGTGTACAAATACTGTTCACTATGCTATTAAACTGTGCCTCTAATGTGTGCTGGGTTTTTTGATTACAAGAAAAAAGATTGTCCCCTTGTGCGCTGTTTATTTCTCTCGCCCTTTTTTGATAAAGCACCAGCTTTGTTCTTTGTGCTTTTTGGCTAGAAGACATGAAACTGTAAACATGTTAAATGTTTGACAAATGATCAATGTTTAATTGTTTGCAGCCCTCTCAATGGTTGCTTTACAAGATATTCAATAGTCCGAGGCCATGAAAAACATCCACTACAAGAGCGGTCGAATGTTACAGCAGCAAACTGCAGTTTGTGATCCTTGAGCGTTGTTGGCCGTGTCCTCAAGCGTTCTCTGAACCATCTGCATCAGTCTTCAGCCAGTAAACCACAAGATTTCATTATTTCTCTGTTTCTCTGTGCATATTATTGCTTTTTTTGTCATTTTTCTATGTTGAAGATGAATTGCAGAGACAAAATTAAATAAACAGTTTTGTAGGTTGATTTCCCTGAAGAGTGTGAACGCTGTGATTTTGCTATGTTTATTTGAACAATTGGAGCATTCAACAGTTTTTAGTTTTTGCTTTGCTTTATTACAAGTTAGTCAGCGTGTGTTTTTTCTGTTGCTAAATAGATACAAGCACACAGAAAGTTCTGGTACTTGAGAAGATACCACAGCATCAGTAGGCTACTTTTATGCTTTCTTTTGATATATTGATCAGTACATCAGTATTGTCAGTATTTATCATGTCATTACACAAATATACAGTGGGTACGGAAAGTATTCAGACCCCCTTAAATTTTTCACTCTTTGTGATATTGCAGCCATTTGCTAAAATCATTTCAGTTATTTTTTTTTTCCTCATTAATGTACACACAGCACCCCATATTGACAGAAAAACACAGAGTTGTTGACATTTTTGCAGATTTATTAAAAAAGAAAAACTGAAATATCACATGGTCCTAAGTATTCAGACCCTTTGCTCAGTATTTAGTAGAAGCACCCTTTTGATCTAATACAGCCATGAGTCTTTTTGGGAAAGATGCAACAAGTTTTTCACACCTGGATTTGGGGATCCTCTGCCATTCCTCCTTGCAGATCCTCTCCAGTTCTGTCAGGTTGGATGGTAAACGTTGGTGGACAGCCATTTTTAGGTCTCTCCAGAGATGCTCAATTGGGTTTAAGTCAGGGCTCTGGCTGGGCCATTCAAGAACAGTCACAGAGTTGTTGTGAAGCCACTCCTTCGTTATTTTAGCTGTGTGCTTAGGGTCATTGTCTTGTTGGAAGGTAAACCTTCAGCCCAGTCTGAGGTCCTAAGCACTCTGGAGAAGGTTTTCGTCCAGGATATCCCTGTACTTGGCCTTTTAGCAAATGGCTGCAATATAATAAAGAGTGAAAAATTTAAGGGGGTCTGAATACTTTCCGTACCCACTGTATATATATAAAATTTTTTTAGAAATTACCTTTATGTTAGATGTCAGGTATTACCATGTAAAGAAAGGTTTGAAAGATTTGCAAGACTATATAAACCATTGTCTGAAGCCATAACCCCATGTCACAAAGGCAGTATGTAGATTCTCTGAGCCCCCCGAAAGCATCAGTCTCCACAGACTTAATGCATTTCCTGTTGGAGATTTTCCCCTCATAACTCAATAATCGAATCATCAGGGCTGTGACATTTTATCTCTTTAGATACACACACACACCGGGTGGAGACTGGCATCTTCAAAACCCACAGCACAGCTGTGAAAAAAACTATTTAACAATCTCACTTCACAAACCTGACACCTGCGCTTAGACCAAAAAAATCATCACAGATTTACAGAAAATGTGATGTCAGATCTTCTAAAATGCTATTTCTGAATCTGCAAACCAGTCTAAACATTGTAGCAACTTAAATGTGCATTTAGTAAAAATAAATAAATAAATAATAATAAAATACTTTAGCATCCAGATTTTGATACTCCAATGGGCAATAGTTTGATCTTGTGGCTGCTTTTTATGTTCAGTTTTGTGTTGTGCTTTTCATTTGGTACTATCAGTTGTAGTGAGGGCTAATTAGATGTCTTAGTCCTGTTGCCAAAATTATTTACACACTTTCACCCAGCAAACTCAGCACTCCAGTAATGCTGTAAATCAAAATGCTATTAGCTCGTTATCATACACTGTAATTTCTGACTTCCTGTGGGCTGAACAATTTTTCCCTTATTTCTCCAGGCTCATCCAAGAAGAGAAGGAGTCAACAGAACTGAGGGCAGAGGAAATCGAGAACCGCGTGGCCAGCGTGAGCCTGGAGGGGCTGAACCTGGCACGGGTTCACCATCCTGGAGCCTCCATCACTGCCTCGGCCACCGCTTCCTCCCTCACTTCGTCCTCCCCTCCCAGCGGACACTCCACCCCCAAACTCACCCCGCGCAGCCCTGCCCGCGACATGGAGCGCATGGGGGTCATGACACTGGTATACGAGCCCATCCGTATCTCTGTCCGACAGGGGTCAAATCATGAGGATTTACAGTTTATTTTCTTTGATCTTTTTAGATATTAACAGTGCTGATTATATATGGAAGAAAATAGTAATTTAAAATTAAAGATGATTTTTGATTTTGCTGTAATTTAAGGCATATTGCTACAAACATCTTTGGGGCTTTACAAAAGCCTTTTTTTCATGTAAATTGTAGTGTTAGTTAAGTCATAAATGACACAGTATGATGACTCTCAATCAAATGTTGTATTACAGCTTTCCTAGTCATTTCTCTGCGGTTTCTGCAACATGTTGCTTTGCTTTGAATGCCTCATGAATATCCAGTTTCCATTAACCTGTTAACATGTTTTATTTCCTGTTTTGCAGCCCAGTGACTTGCGGAAACACAGGAGAAAGGTACGTATAACATGTGGTACCTTCACAAAAGACCTAACTGTATTTGGCATGATTATTTTTTATGGGCAGAATAGAGGACACCGGGGGTTGCGGAAAAATCTGAACTTAATACATTTTTCCATTTTCAATTCATGACTTAGATCTGAATTGAATTGCCTACAGTCCAAAAGGTTGAATGGAAATGAGACATATGCTTAAAAAAATACTTTTTTTTTGTTTTAAAGATGTTTAGATATTTGTACTGGTTAATAAAACACAGCACTGTGACTGCAGTGGAGTCATTCAGGTTCCTGGGCACCACAATCTCTCAGGACCTGAAGTGGGACACTCACATTTGACTCCATTGTGAAAAAGGCCCAGCAGAGGTTGTACTTCCTTCGCCAGCTGAGGAAGTTCAACCTGCCTCAAGAGCTGCTGAAACAGTTCTACTCCGCCATCATTGAATCTGTCCTCTGCACTTCAATAACTGTCTGGTTCAGCTCAGCTACCAAATCTGACTTCAGAAGACTACAGAGGATAGTCCGGACTGCTGAGCGAATCATTCGTACAATCCTCCCTTCTCTCCAAGAACTGTACTTATCCAGAGTGAGCAAAACGGCTGGCAGAATCACTCTGGACCCCTCACATCCAGCACACTCCCTCTTTGAACTGTTGCCAGGTGGGCAAACTGGGAACACAGGCGGAGAAAGATCGCAGGCTTAAAAAGAAGTAAGTATTTTATAAACCGCTCTCTGACAAATTCTAATTATATGCCCAACACAACCTTTAATGAAGGCAATTATTTCTAGGGCCCAAATCTTGTAAAATGAATGAAATATTACTGACTCAACATAACCATCTTCACAAATACTGTGATGTTTCACACAACTTTCTTTAAAAAACAGTATTTGAACAAATGGCCCATCTGGATGCGTTGCAGTGCCTTAGGCCAGAAACATACTCTACG